TGATTTGGGGCAGGGTGTCAGAGCACGCTGGGAATACGGTCTCAAGTCTTGGTGGGGGGAGGGGAGTGAGTGAGGGGGATTTGGGTGTGGGGTCTGAGCACGAGGGGGGACACTTACCTGGCTTGGCACCCTGCTGCAGCAGGGAAAGCCTCCAGGCAGCATGCTCTTGTTCCTCGGGGTGGGAGGAGGGAGGGGAGAGCTCAGTCTTCTCCCCCCCACCCCCGCAGTGGGGAACCCAGCGCAATTGCAACACCAGGTCAGGCTTCCTGCTGGCAGGGCATGGGGGGAGGGTGTAGAAACCCCGACCTTCCCTGCCACACCAAACTCTGCCACTTCCCCAGCAGGCTGGGGAGAGGCGTGGGGAAGAGAGAGTAGCAGTGCACGAGGGGGCAGCGACCCCGAGCGCACCCCAAGGGGGGAGCAGCAGAACCCAAGCACATCCCAGGTAGGGGGCAGCAGAGCCTGAGCACACCCCAAGTGGGGGGGGCAGCAGAGTCCGAGCTGAGTTCCGCACAGGTGGCAGTTTAAACACGCTGAGGTCTGAGAGCAGCTACTTAGCACCTCATAGGATTGAGATAGTAGATTTCAGTATTGAGATGGTAGATTTCCTGACCAAAGGAAGAAAAGAGAAAAGTAAAACACACACCTTGGACTTCAGAAAAGCAGATTTTGACTCCCTCAGAGACCTGATGGGCAGAATCCCCTGGGATGCCAACATGAAGGGGAAAGGAGTTCAGGACAGATGGCAGTATTTTAAAGAAGTCTTATTGAAGGCATAGAAAGAAACCATCATGATGCGTAGCAAGAGAGGCAAACATGGTAGGAGACCGGATTGGCTTACGGGGGAAATCCTTGGTGAACTTAAGCACAAAAAGGAAGCTTACAAAAAGTGGAAACTTGGACAAATGACCAGGGAGGGGTTTAACTCTATAGCTTGAGAATGCCGGGGGGTTATCAGGAAGGCGAAAGCGTAAATGGAATTGCGACTGGCTAAGGCTGTGAAGGATAACAAGAAAGGTTTCTACAGGCATGTTAACAAGGGAAGAAGGACGATCCAGGGAACTATAGGCCGGTCAGTCTTACCTCGGTTCCTGGAAAAATCATGGAAGGGATCTTTA